GCTTCCCGCTATCACATAAGTACCATCACAGATGACACACACATGATTGTGTCAAAGTGCCTGCATATGACTGCACATGTATATTCATATACACCCATCAAAGCTACAGGCTGGAAACCATTGAAGTAGGCGTATTTCGTGGTGGCTGCGCTGCTCTCCTCTGGCCCTAGGTCAGTCTCACCAGAGAGAGAGAGAGATAGAGAGATAGAGAGAGAGACGTATTTCGTTGAAACGAGCGTGCACCAAAAGACATGCGTAGGAATCCTAGGTGTATGAGCAGGGGGGTTCCAGTTCAACTGCTATACATCCCCATCAACATCGTTAGCTGCATCCCCATCCCCACCTTTCTTCAGTCTACATGATCCCCTCCTTTTTTTCTCGACCAAAAAAGACATCCAGACCCAACACGTTTCACACCAATCCAAGAACAGAACCCAACAACATCCCCAAATCAATGTAAAACCCACCCCAACTAATCAAAATTTCTGCAAACCCTGGAGTTTCATGGAACCCCCAAGCGCCATGTCCCGATCCCATGGAATACCTGGACGCGCTCAGCTTCACCGGCCCGGCGCCGCCGGCCGGGGGCGCCGGCGTGGCGGTGCGGGCGCTGAGCGCCACCGTGCCGTCGGCGGCGACGGAGGAGCTGTGGAACGTGCTGCTGGGAGGCGGGGAGACACAAACAGAAGCTGGGCAAAAAGACAACTTTGGGATGTTTGGGTGAGGGTTGGGGTTGGCAGTGGGGAGGAAGATGATGTATTTGAATGTATTTGATGTATGATGTGCATATGCATGTATCGTATATAACTTTGATATTTACGGAAGTGAATATGATTATGATGATGATGATGATGATGATGAACTTTTGTGTCCGCTCGAACCGCAAATAACCCTATGAATCATTAAAACAGGAGGAATGTCAACCCACGGCGGATGCCCACAAATTTATCAACCATTTAGCATTGTGGCAATACCCATCGAAGCTAGCAACTAGAGGAATTTAACATCACAATGGGTTCCTGTATGTATACCCTCTGGTAATTTAACATAACTATGGAAAATCACCATTTTTAATGGGAAAATCCACTATAAATGGCCATTTTCCATTGCTATGTTAGTTCACCAGAGGGTAACCCTCCATTTTCCTATGGTTTTCCTAAAAAAAAAGTTGGCAATGGCGGGATTTCCAACCGTCCGCCGAGGAAGTTGCTTTGGACCGCTGGGATGTAGCCGTGTACTACGCGGTGGAGGCTTCGGCAGCGGGGAAGACCAATGCCAAGCACGGAGCCTTCTTGTCGAACCAGGAGTGGCAGATGGCTGGGCCATATATATAGACAATCCAATATGATCTAATATAATCTAATATATATATAGATATGTAATATGATATGATATAATCTAGTGTAATATAACCTAAAAAATATAGTATAACATAACATATAATATAATATAATACAATAAATTTTAATGTATACAATATATATATATTTATAATTATATTCAAAAATATAATATAACATAATATATAGTATAATATAACACAACATAATCTAATCTAATCTAATGATATATATATAACATAACATAAGATAATATAATTTAATATAAAATAACATTTTTTAATACAGTATAATTTAATATGTTATGTTATGATATAATATAATTTAATATATTACGAAATAATATAATACAATATAATATAATATTATAATATAATATTATAATATAATATAATAATATAGTATAATATAATATGATTTAATATAATGTAACAGAATATTATATAATATACTTTTAAAAACATAATATAATATCATATCATATGATTTAATATAGTTTAATATAATATAATATAATATATTTTAATATGATACAATACAATATAATATGATTTAATTTGATATAAGAAAATATAATATAATATGATATCATTTAATTTAATATATCATAACATAACATAACATAGTATAATATACCATAATAGTATATAATATACTATAATATATAATATGATCTAATATAATATAACTTAATTCAATTCAATTTAATTTAGTTTAATATAACACAATATAATATACAATGCTGGGGCTGATGTTTAGTTGTCAAGATTTTCTTCAGTACCTTAAGTGGCAAAGGGACTACTTGAAGGATTGAAGTGTGGGTATAAAAAGTGTGACTTGTGAGTTATTTTGGTGGAGGACTCTTTGACTTTCCTGTGGGTAGGCCTAGTAGCCCTACCGTTGGTCCGCTTGCGTTTGGACAAGGGATGACTGGTTGTATGAAAAACGATTGTCGCTGAAACATCACATGGAACACCAATCCGGACCTGCTACTCTTTCGCAACGGACGTCGCTGCCTTATCCGAAAAACAGAAGGCACACATTACAATAATTTGTATTTTCCGGCACCAACCAAATATGTAAAACATAAGTCCGCCATGATGATTGCAAAAACATTTCCTTTTTTTAATGGTACCTTTTGTTCACGATCACAACTATTTAAATCATGAGAGTTCTAGTCCCCTTTCTGATCGGATCACAAGATGATCAAAACGATTCAAAACAGTTCTCCGTTTATCACTCTCATAGATTTCATAGTCTTATATCAGCATATTTCATAGCAATACATGACATATGTCACCATTTTGCTACAAAAACTGCAGTCCCTCACCATCCCCACCATGCCAGGGAAACAAAAACGGATTGGGATGGCTAATGATCGTTAATGTTAACATTAATCAAACATATGGTCCCCATGATGGTCCCCATATGTCCCCATCATTCCCGGGCCAGGAGCTGAGCACCTTGGATCCCCAGGTCTTTCATCTTACCTTGGACGAGGCCGGGGCCCTGGTGCCCGAGCAGCGCCTGGTGCTGCGCCTGGGCACCAGCTGCCTCTTGGAGGAGGGCCTCCAGCTGGAGGAGTTGCAAAATTGCCCAGTTGACACGTCGCCAGGAGATGCCAGGAGGGTTTTTGCCCTGTTTTTGCGGTGTTTTTTTTTTTTTAAATGAGGGTTTATGGTTGTATCTTGTTGTCTTGTTTTTAGTAGCCTAAGACTGCCATTTTTCTTCGGATTTTGGATTTTTGACCTTTGGTAATCAAACGTGGCTAGCCGGGAAATCACCTGTAAATGAGCATTTGCATGGGTAAATATGAGTTTTTTTTGGTACTCATATTTCAGCACTTAAAATCCTTGATAACGTAAAACCCCTAGAAGTATCTAGAATTATTATTATATATTGGTTGATTGTTTTGGAGTTTTGAAATGTAAGGTCCCCAACAACACGACAGGCGTCTTTACATTCTTTTGTTATTATGAAAACTGGAACATTCCGTTGTATAGGAACTCTGACACGTAATTTTCGAAGATTCAACGGAGTTGTCATCGGGAACTGCTTTAAAAAATGTGTATAAACTGTTTTTTCTTCAAATAATTGAAGTAGAAATCCCACAGATTGCCGTGTTGAAGGGGGAACGGTGCCAGTGAGTAGTCCTGATCAAGCTTTGGCCCATCCCTCGGCACCAGCTTTCCCAATGAACTCTCCCAATTATACAATTGTCTTTGAATTTTGGGGTATGCAGGCAGGTAGGTAGGTTGGCTTAACTCCACATTTTTCGTTTGACCCCATCCCCCAAGTCTTTTTGGTGTCACCGTTGCTCCAAGGTACCTGGGCGATTGCTCCAGTGAATCGCGGAGCTACGCGTCCCACCTGACGGCCTTCCACCACCGCGGCGCGGCCACGGCCGTCACGGCGCATCGCTTGGCCTATGCCCTGGGTCTGCGGGGCGAGAGCTGTGCCTTCGACACAGCGTGCTCCTCTTCGCTGGTGGCGCTGAGCCATGGCCATGCCAGGCGCGGTGAGATCGGTGGAAAGTTGGGGATAGGCTGGTGAAAACATGGGTATACCGGTATAATTAGCCCCCTAATTTGTGGCATATTTTTATAATGAGGATATATGAGGATGAACCAATGGATTTGGAGGCATCCTATTTTCACACCAACCTGTGTATGTTTGTAGAGGAATCTGTATCCCATTGTTCGACGTGACCAAGGTTACCAAAGTAGCCGGCTATTGTTGATGATCTACCCGTTTCAATTTTAAACCATCGTTTTGTGATCATTTATGGAGGCGCAACCATCCTTACCCGTCCTGCTTTCAGTTGCATATTTTGATCATGTTTCCACCATTTACATCCCACTTTCAGTTGCTTATTCTGATCATGTTGCAACTAGTTGCAACCATTACACTATTGCCCAATGTAAATATACATATTATATACACATGTCCGTATAACATTTCTTTTTATAGGGTCCCAATATCACCATTTGTGTTTGTTGAGATTTCAATCATTTTCACCCCGACATCTAACCAATCGCCCCGGAATCGCCCCTCGGCAGGCTGCGGTTGCGGCCGCAGATGACAAGCTCAGGTGATTTCACTGCTGCGCTGGTGATGGGCGTGCGGGTCATGTTGGGACCCGATGGCTTTGTTGGTTTGGGCGCAGGCTGGTGATCGAAAAGGGAGGTGGTTCCTGCGGATGGACATTTTGGACGATAGCCTAGGGTCGAAGCCATCATAAACCCAATGAAAAATCGTTTCTTCAAGATAAACAATAAAAAACATAAAAAAAGAAACATAAAACAAAAGCATGATCAGCTTTCTTTGAAGCCAGCAAAAAACACCAAAAAAAACCATAGGTTTGATGTTGATCTTCTAATATTTTTTAAAAGCCACATTTCTCTGTCCGCCATAAAAATGGCCCAGCCAGACCACTCCCCAGGTGGTTTCCTGGGTCTCCACGGGCGCTGCCTGACCTTCGACAGCAGCGCCAACGGCTTCGGCCGCGGCGAGGGCTGTGGCGCTGTGCTGCTGGGGCCTCCGGGCGAAGAGGTGGAGATGGCTGCGTTGTGGCTGGGCTGGTAGCTATGGTGGTAAAATCCATAGGAAAACCATGGGAAAACCCATAAGAAATGGATGTTTACCCCCTGGTAAACGTTTACATAACTATGGAAAATCACATTTTTTTATAGGTAAATCAATGTAAATCAACTATAAATGGTCCATTTTCAATAGCTATGTTAAGTTACCAGAGGGTATGGGAAAAAGTATACTGTGAAACCGGCATCTTGGCAACCAAGCGCAAAAAGCCATGGATGAAGGACGCCAATTCAAAGGCGAAAAAGGGGGCCACGAATTTAGAAGCTGGGCTTCTAATTTTTGAATTGCGACCCCATTTCTGGGTCCGGGATCTGGCACTTTTTTGGGGGTCGCAAAACACAAACAGGAGCTGCTCAATATTGGCAGCAAGGACACATGCTGGTACACATGCTTCCGCCAATGCAAGCTGGCAGCCGCACATGTCCACAATACTATGAGGGTACACACTGTAGAAGGTTGGAATATGAGTATATAAGGGGCTCGTTTCCAGGACAGGGTCTCATGTGAAAATATGTGAAATAGACCCCGCGAGCCAAACACAAAGCACGAGACAACATGAACTACAGATAAGCCCAATCCTTCGGGCCTTGGGCCAGGGCAAACGGAAAGGTGACGACCCCCCGCAGACACCTTGCAGCACGCCCTACCACGCTGCAAACGCCCAGTCCTTGCCCCTGTATTGGAAAAGTAGGGAAAATGGTGGTTTAGCAAAAATCGTAGTATAACCAGCTATCAGCTGCAGGATTTTGGGGCATTCTATTTTCAGACAAACTCATGTGTTTAATGGGAGCTAGATGAAACTTACCAACTTGGAATTTAACAATATTTAAGGGGGATGATGTAACCATCCAACGTGGATTTTCATGGCTTCAATGGGGGTTTATCAGTAGTATGAATTGGAATGTAGTGAGGCCCAATGACCGTATGAATGGGGATATAGCAGAGATTAATGGAGATATAGCGGTAAGTTCTGCAAAAAGGGGTCACTTTTGGAGGTTTCACATGTCGTGGTGCTTCGTTCCGCGTGGCAGGCGTGGCACTTCGTGACATTCAGACGTATTTCGTAGCGTGTGGAAAGTCGTTTTGTGTGGCAGGCGCACAGCGTGGCATTTTGTGAGATGTGCTGACAATTGACGGAAGCCTCGCACAAAACATCGATTTTGAGGCTCACAAGAAAACTCGTAGGAAAACGTCGATTCTGAAGCTACAAAGTGTGAAAATTGGAGGAAGTCTCGCACGAAATGCTCGTTTTGATGCTCCAACATGTCTCGTCTCGAGTCTCTGGTTTTCCTGTGGCCTCGCCGTGTCTATGGGGGAAGCTGCAAAATCTCTCCTTTTCGACGCCTTTTCGAAGGTTTCCAAGCAGGTTGTCATGTCGTTTTGAGTGGCAGGCATGGCACTTTGTGACATTCCAACCTGTTTGATTTCGTGTCGAAAGCCGTTTTTTGTGGCAGGCGCAAAACCCTTGCGTCGTTCTCAGAAGATGAGTTGCAGTTTTCGTGGCAGGCGCGCTCCACACTTTACACTTTACACTTTACACTCCACACTTTACACTTGACACTTTGCACTCCACACTCTACACTCCACACTCTACGCACGACACTCCCCACTCCCCACTTTACACTTTACACTCCACACACTACAGTTTTCACTCCACACTTTACACTTTACACTCCACACTTTACACTTTACACTCCACACTTTACACTCCACACTCTACACTTTGCACTCTACACTCCACACTTTACACTTTACACCTACGCTCTACGCCCCACACTTTACACTCCACACTCCACACTTTACACTCCACACTCTACACTTCACACTCTACACACTCCACACTCTACACTTCACACTCCACACTTTACAGTCTACACTGTGCACTCCACACCCCACACTCCACACTCTACACTTTACACTCTTACACTCCACACTTAGCACTCTACACTTTACACTCTACACTTTACACTCTAAACTTTACACTTTACACTCCACACTTTACACTCCACACTTTGCACTCCACACTTACCCTTTGCAATCTAGACTCTACACGCCACACCCCACACTCTACACTCCACACTCCACACTTTACACGCCACACTTTACTACCACGCTTCACACTTGACACTTTACACTCCACACTCTACACGACACTCCCCCCTTTACTCTTTACACTCCGCACTTTGCACTTCACACTCCACACTCCACACTTTACACTCCACACTCCGCCCTCCACACTCCACACGCTACACTTTACACTCAACATGTTACACTTTACACTCAACATTTTACACTTTACACTCCGCATTTTGCACTTTACACAAAAAACTCCACACTTTACACTCTACACACTCCACACTCCACACTTCAGACTCCACACTTTACAATTGACACTCCGCACTCACACTTTACACTCCACCCTCCACACTTTACACGTTACACTCCACACTTTGCACTGTACACTCCACACTTTACACTTTACACTCCGCACTTTACACTTTACACTCCGCATTTTACACTTTACACTCCACACTTTACACTCCACACTCCACACTTTGCAATCTACACTTTACACTCCACACTTTACACTCCACACTTTACACTCCACACTCTACACTTTGCACTCTACACTCCACACTTTGCACCCCACCCTCTTCCGCATTCCTCAGTCTACAGTACACTGGTACGGCAACAAGGGAAAATGTAGACTATTCAAATAACTTGTTTCACAAAAGTGTTCTACGTGACTGCATTCGGGTTCGTGGGCTGCATCTTGTTTTTTGTGTGTGGCCCTTTGTTTTTTCAAAATGGTGGCTGGTGCCATCCCATTGTTGTTTGACGACCAAGAACATGTGGTAAACCCAGCTGTAAACCAGCCCCTACTTCCTTTTGGGAGGGTTTCAAGGATATAATTTGAACGCACGTTGGGTTTTTTTTGGGTAGTGCATCTGTCTGGTCAGGCAAGTCCTACGAATAAAATGATGTTTGGTGGTTTTCCATTCCGCATTGTTTCACGAGGTTTGATGTGGCAAACAACGAACAGTGTGGATATCATATTGACGAGGGTGGGCATTTCTGGTCACACAAAACCAATCAAATGGGATAACTGGGGATAACCAGTTTCCCCCATTATTTGCCGCTGATGAGCCATGCAGTCCACCCATTCTTTTTCGATGGGTTGGTTCAACAGCCAACGAGGTTGGGTAGCGCGGTGAATCAAGATGGCCGCTCTGCCAGTATCTGGGCCCACGGTAAGTTGTGTTTCTTTCCATTTAATAATTGATTTTGTTAAAATCAACCAATAACTGGTTGGGCATGGTGGTTTGTAACCTCATGATGGTTTACAATGGATTGCGCTCGAAACTCTCACCAGGATTTTCCCATCATTGTTGTTGACATACCCACATGCCCCCATTCTTGTCAGTCAACCAACTGGTTGAGTAGCTTGATGTTTTCTCTGTTACAGATGGAGTATAATTACCAACCAGCTGAAAAATGAAACTTAACCTTGGAGGCTATCCAGGGCCACGTTTTGATGCTTAAGTACCGTTAACTCACTGGGGAAACGACATTTTTTTGGTGCCAGGTATGACAGCTCCCAATGGCCCTTCGCAACAGCGTTGCATCCGCAGCTCCCTGCAGATGGCGCAGCTGGGCGATGGCGCCTCGCTGAGCATCATGGAGTGCCATGGCACCGGCACCAGCCTGGGAGATCCCATCGAAATCGGTGCCATCAAGGCGGGTTTTGCCGGGACAATCTCGAACTTCATGGGAACAAAATGGTGGGTTTAATGGGAAAATCCGGTTGCCATGGGGATGTCAACCATCAAATAATAGGTGAATCAACCGTGGCTAGCTGGGAAATCCGCGAACGAAATGGAGGTGTTTGTAGCTGGGAAAAAATCGAACTAAACTTTATCATGAAACATATGGAATTCACCCACAACCATGGAGGTAAAATTAAGATACGGGGACATAAGAGGTGACCCCCCTGAACCATAGCTAAGTTGGTCTTGGTTAACCAGGGTTTGTACGGGATATAACTACAGTATACCAATGGATGTTACTTTTTCCTCTATAAAATGGCATGGGTCAACCCCCTCCATAAAACGTTTTATGTTATTGTTTTGTGGGGTTCATACACTGACTTAGAACTGGGGTGCCCCACCTCGTGGAGAAATGCCGAACTAGAGTGGGAACCCCATAAATCATCATAAACCCATAGAATTCGGAAATTGGATGATGGATTTGGAAACAAACACGCATGGAAATGGATGAATTGGGTTTTATCTTTGGGTTTGGCCCATAACATGTAGCCCATAAGTGATGGCTGTTGTTGAACGGTGCCAAAAATCCTGACCGCACGCCCGTTTCGGGTGTGTGAAACAGGACCAAATGGTTAGTACCTTCAAGCATTATAAGTTGGTTCCTTAATTTCAAAGTTTTACTATAGAGGAATTCCAGTTGTTGGTTGGATAAATCGGAAAAATATAGCGACATCATCAATTTTCCTGGGTATGTCCGATAAACAATCATATTTGCCGCATAAATCCGAAACTTCGCCATCTTTCTTGGAGAATTACCCGCACTTTACACCGTTTTTCCATGTTTTTCCTAGCCGTTTTGGGCCCCTGGAATTCTTGGAACGCCAGGGCGTTGTGAGCCAGGGTGGCATGCCGCTGTTGACCAGCTCCAAGACCAACATAGGAGCTGGGTCAAGATCATGAGGATGGTGAGAAGCATTTAATGGGATGCAATGATGATATGATGTTACTATGTGGTTTAATAGGGATGATAATGGGATATAATGGGATAATAATAGAATATTCATGGATACTCGGCCTCCCGTAGTCAAACGTGGCTGGCTGGGACATCCCCCCAAAAATGAAGCTTTATAGCTAGGAAAAGCATCGAACTAAATGGCGCCCCTGGCCTCTCCAGCAAGCCACGGCAATGATGACACCGGAGGCTAATCCCGAAGTTACCCACCTTAAAGTCATCCACAGTTAAGTATTGGGTGTATTTTACTGATTGGTGGTGACTGGAACCATGGAATTTTATGACTTTCCATATGTATGTATACAATTTATATACATTTATATATATATAATATATATATATAATGTCATCATCCCAACTGACTTTCATATTTTTCAGAGGGGTTGAAACCACCAACCAGTTTAGTATTAAGGTGATGGTAATGGTCTTTTTCTTACCATGATTGTCGTTATTTTTGTTATCATCTTTGGGGCTGCATGCAACCAATTTAGGCTACGCCTGAACAGTGAATGTGTAAGAACACACCCCCTGGTAATTTAGCATAGCTATTGAAAACCACCGTTTTTTATACGTAAATCCATGTAAATCCTCTATAAACAGGCCATTATCCATAGAAATGTCAATTACCAGAGAGTACCTCTTAAAAGCAGTGATATCAACAATTTTTGAGCGAACCTTGCAATTTTTTAGGTGAAGCAATGGATGATGATCGGTAAGAATGGGTTACATATAACCAACTTACTGGGAGCTGGATCATGAAAATCCCAATGAATCAACACCCCGTTGCCCATGATAGATTATTCCCATTTGTAGATTCCACTGCACGTGTGTGATGATGGGCATCCCGGTTTTTGTTCAGTAATCCTTTCCTAATATTAATTACTCCTATATGGGCCCGCAAATATCAATGGATCCAATGCTTAGCCACAGGTTCTTAGGGGAACCGATTCCTAGCACCATCAGCCAGCTGATTTCAGGACACGGAGAGGCGGCGGCTGGACTCAATGGCTTCATCAAGTGCGTGCTGATGTTGGCTCACTCCATGTGTCCTGCCAACGTGCACCTGCGAGTTTTGAACGGGAACCTGGACACGAACGGCTTCCCATGCTTGTTTGGCAATGAGTCTGGGTTACATATATACTGTTTATGACTGTTTCCTTTTTCCTTTCTTTTTTGCATTTCCCATTGGATTGCGGCAATTGACTGATTGATAGTCGTTTTCTTCAAGGCTTGGTGAGGGCCAACTCCCACGCTACTACCCCATGCCAACACAAACTGTTGTTCCAGATTGGATCACACTATCATGATCAATCGGACATTTATGTTTGTATCTTCATAATTTGTAGATCTAGATTTTGGTATACACCTGCACCAGCACCCAACCAGCCTTCATGCCATTGCCATCTTCCATTTGAGGAGTCCGTAGATGTGGGCAGCTTGGTTTTTCTTGGGATTTTCCGATTTTCCTTTAAGTTTTTTGTTTTCTTTGATAATTCAACACACCGCATTTGTTGGTTTAAGCCGAAGTTTGACTTGTTCAGTCTGACTAGATTTACCTCCATCTATCTATCCAGTTTCTATACCTACATCTATATTAGTCCAGATCCATGTGTAGCCATAACCACCATGTTTAAGGGTACAATCATCCCAAATTCAACTTGTTGTTGCTTCTTTCATCACCTTTTCATAGGAACATCTTTCTCGTATTCTTTTAGCTGGGGAAAACCGCAAATTCTGGCACCCAATCAAAAGTCTTGCTGCTGAAATCCAACATTTTGCTGGTTGACTGACTCTCCATAATTTTCAGGGGGACAAGTAGAGAAACGCTTTCTAAACACCAATTTTTGCTGATGAGCATCTGATAACAGCCAAAATTTCTTGGTAAAACGCTAAACAGGTAACTTTTTACTTTGGATTGTCACCACTTTTTGACGCTTCGAAGTGGTTGATATTATATAACCCTTCAAAAAAGATAGAAGCCATACTTTCTGGGAATAAGGGAATTTGATACTCAAATCCATCTTTCTTTGGGGTACCTATGGGACCCCAGGCAGCAACAGTCAACACCTGGGCGTCTCCTCTTTTGGCTTCGGTGGCACCAACGCCCGCGCGGACCTCTGGGGCCACTGCCAGGTGGGTCCCCGCCAGCTGCGCGCACGACTGGTGGTGGTGCCGTGCCCGCGCTGCGGCCAAGGGAGCCTGGGATCTTTTTTGATGTTTGTTTTATGGGATTGGAGTTTTTTTCAAAGATCCTGGCTTTGCACAGGATTGTCGTAGCAGCTTCGTTTTACAGTTTTTTTTCTAATATGAATCTTTACTAGCATTTTAAGCATTTTCAAAAAATAAGAATCTTTTGGGGAAAAGAATGGGAATGGTGATGACTTGTGGGGGTTTTGTTTCCTATTTGTCATCGCTGACAGTCCGAAGTTGTTTTTGAATCGGGTTTCCAGTGTCCAGCACTTTTTGGACACTGGGCTTGGAAACCCAAAGACATTCGCGAAGCTGTGAGGGAATCCATGAATGAAAACCAGGACAAGGGATGCAAAGCGATGCAGAAAGTGATACATTATGACAAATCAACCATAAGGACCATAAGTGGAAATGATCATGAACAAAAAGCTGAAGACTTGAAACCTGATTCATAAACCAAAGATAGTTTTGTTTTTCTCTAAATCATATAAATCAATTATAAGCTATACGTAACAAAAAACATATCATGTCCACATCATGTATCATATTTTAGTCTTCAAAAATCAGATAATTTCCACACACACACATATA